GTGAATTGACAAAAGGCTATTTATCTCCTCTTCATGTCATCAAGGCAGTGAGGAGAGGAAAAGTAGAGGATGGAAACGAATTTTCAATTACCACATACAAAAGAACGGGTAATTCACAGTCTAAAATATCTTTGCCGCGCGTATACATCGCGAGCGGCGTGACGAGTGGGCCTGAAAAGATTTCCAAATTAAATTTTGGGATTAGTACCCTGGTTTAATGCGGATAAGTGATAGTAGAAGACGTCCCAAGGGTGTGCTATACGGTACCTTGGTCCTCCTACCACCCCCATGGGACCATCATACACACGGCTCACTATGTAACGACACGACGACGTGCCGCCCTTTCTCGCTTGTAACACTTCACGCGTTTCCATTTGTTGAATGTAAACTCGTTCTCTTTTTTTCCACTCTCTCTCTCTCTCTCTCTGGAATGTCAATTTTTGTTCACACGAAACAAAATGCCCGATCTTTCAAACTACTGTTAGGAACAGACAAAAACGTGATACGTAGGTCATACAAAACTGCAATTCCATTATTTAAAACCAGTAGTGGACGTGCAACAGTACTTGCAGATCGATCAAAAGACTAAAGTTATTTCAAAGCAGGAAAGAGTGGAACAATCTAAAATTTAAAACGATTGTCTAGGGTTACTAGTTTATTTTTGAATAAAGTCAATACGAATATATAGACAGAAACTTTGGTATATTTCTACTAAAGAAAATTTATCGTTATTTCGTAAAATGCAAAATTAGATATAGTCATGATAACAATCGTATGTTATCTTATCTTTAATATTTTCTATTTTAGCACCGGGACATTTTTAATTCTCTTTATTCTTGCTTTTTGATACATTTCCACTAAAGAGAATTTATCATTATTTCGTAAAATGCAAAATTAGGTAATTAGTTATGATAACAATCGTATGTGTTCAACTTTCAATATGTTAATATTTCTTCATTAAGATTCAAATATCCTTATTTTTAATATTTTTTAACACCTTCACACCCCCATACTCTTAATTCTTTTCTATTCTCATTTCTTATATCTTTGCGTGTACTGTCTTTTTACATTTATCACTTAGCTATATAAAATGAAATTATCTTAGAGATAAGAATAAAATAATATCATTTTGCATATGTATTACTTAGAACATAAAATATAAAAAATAGAAAATGTTTTTGATCGTAATAAAATTAGACTTAAAAATAAGATTTGCTGAGCAGATTTTTCTTAAAAATATTTTGTTTTAAAATTAATCTAAATCTCGCTAATCGCTACGTTAAGCACTTTTTCTAAAATATCGTTAGTTATTCAAGTGTTAAAAAATACATATATAATAATACATATATTCTTCTCCAACTGATTCGCTTTTAAGAAATATAATCATTAGCACGCATTAGCATTGGATTAGAATATCAATTATCCGGAAGGCCGAGAAGCCAGAACTCTGAAACCAGATTTTGGAATGAGCGGTCCGATACGAGACTTAAGGCCTTAACAGCTACTAAAGCGAAAGCCTGTCTCTGTCTCGCTCTTTAGCACGAGAAACAAGCTGCGTTAGGCGAAGGGGGTATTTTGAGGGCCGCCATTGGCCATCCACGTTCCTTATTGTCGGTTGCCTGGTAACCGGCCTGCTACGAACACACGTACACCCCCGATAGCAACCATCCCGCAGCCGGCGCTGACGCACACTATCAGGCGCGGACGAGCGTAACCCACCACATCACACCACCGGTGGCAACCCTCTCCGCGGATCTTCCCGCGCGTACACGCACATTCTCCCCCCGTTTCGCTCTGATCATCGTGCTCACGTACACCTCCCGGATTTTCCCGAGCGCGTAAAGCGCGTCTAGCATGAATATACTCAACGAGGAAGCTACTTCTCTTTTAACATGCGAGACAAGACATCCTTTAGATTGTCGACTTTTAACGGATTTAGTACCTAATACTCTAATATACCGCATAGATGTATGGACCTATACTTTGGAAACATTACGCGCGAGCATTTTATTCAAATTATCTAGCAGATAATTTGAGCAGATTGGTGATTTGAAATAGAGAGATATTGTCTTCATTTTAGAATGATGAAACAAATTATTTGAAAGACCATTAAAAAGATTAAGACAATCGAAATTGATAAAAATGTTTATGTATGGCTATTTATACATATAAACTTAGCATGAATGCTACTTTTAGAAATATTATTTTATGTTTATTCTTCGTACTTTTTTACATTACATCGAATTCATTCTAATGAGAAGCATTACAAATGTGTAAATATTAATTGTTACAGACAAAAGTTTAGTTTACTGTTATAAATTATAATAACGTTTAATATTATAATAACGAATATATTTATTAATAAGCATAAAATTAGATATATTCTGATATCTCTCTAACTAACCGAAGAAATACGATAAGAATTTCAATGTCCGATACTTCTTTCCAGCAATGAACGAGTAATTATTTTTCGAGAGCGTATACCCTTTAGGGAAGAAATTCTGAAGGGAAGTTGCGATATGTTGAGGGTATTACGGGATTAGGTCCAGAGCAAATTAGATGATCTGACTAACGCTTCGCGTGTTAACGCACACATCGATGTACACGCGTAGCTATTCGCGTAACGCGTATAGCTAACTGGATTTGATTAATCGATTCGGTTGCGTACTCCTACTTAGGCGACGTTACACACCTACTTAGACATTTTCTCGTATACGCGATATCGATTACTTTCGATGTTGTCGAAAGCCACGATAAGGAAAATAATTTAAAATGATGATACATGATAATTTTAATCTCTCATAGAACTTTTTTCATATCGAATTTTAATAAATTAATGACAGACATGAATGCATATTTTTTTTCGCATTTATTTAAGAGAGAAACACAAAAAATTTTTTAATTTAGGTGAAAATTATATCATGCTTTTAGCACGATGTTATGTTTCTGATACAAACAAAATGATTGATTTGACTGCTTGAAGAAAACGAGCGTACTTAAATACAGAGAACAAAAAGGCAACGTGAAACCGAGAGCTTAAAGAGGCTTCTTTACAGAACTGAAAACAATGCATCGTCCAAACTAGAAACGTCGTCGTACTTCAAGCTTGAAATATTTAGTTTTTCTTTTCTTGACCGTCATCTTTTCTTTGCTGCATTCAAATAAACTCAGTTGTATGTGCGAATTACTTTTGATTTTTATAAAACAATAAACAAAAAATAATTATAAAATTTATAATATTATAATAATAATAAAAAAATCATAATACTCTTTTAGTATTTAATATTAGTATTTAATATTATATTTTTATATTAGGATATTTTGTAATAAAATTTGCTAGTATTAAGAAATAAAATTTACGAATATCAGAAAATACAAATTTATTTGTATTATTCGTTATTATAATAAAAATTCAGATTGTTGCAATAATTATATATATTATAATATATGTATAAGATTTTTGTAACTTTTGATTATTCGTAAATTAAAAAATATCTGTATTAGAAAAATATATGTAATGAAAATATCATTGAATGTCAGTGATGTTCAGCGAGAAAAAGTGTCGACTAATCTTCTACGTGCTAGTGGTGATGTCAGCGAACATTTTAGACTCCAATTAGTTAAGGGATACGCATAATTAGAATTAAGCTTTTAATTACTAGTTAATTAGCTACCGGCAATACCAACGGGAACAGTAGTAACGAGAGTTACCCTTAGGGAAGAGTTTCATTGTGCGCACAGGCAACGCTCTGGGTTGCTTTTCGCTCGTTAATTCGACATTAACTTACAATTGATAATTATTTTTGGCCAACGGATTTTGTTCGCAGCCGCGCTTTTGAACAAGCCTTCGTAGGTATTTCGACTATATTCTCTTCTTCTCTTCTCCTGTCCTATCCTATAGACTTGCCATATAGACTTGCCACGCTATAATAAAAATTGTCATTATTGCCATTATGTAATTAAAATTATTTCTGAGAAATTTTTTAAACTGTAGACTTTTATAATTATAATTTATGACTTTTTTTAAATAAAAATGTGTGCATAGCAAATAATTGAGAAATCAGTTAATATAATTTATTAATTAATTGCAAATTAAATTTTTAAAAATTTTTATCAATTTTATTTTTAAATTATTTTTTAATATATGAACAAAGAATAATAATTTATAATATATTTATACGTAAATACTTTTATATATAGATATCACAACGATTTTGTAGCATCATGTTTCACTATGTGTAAAACATATTTTTATGATATTATCTTATTGTACATAAAAAAATTAAAAAGATATAATAATTAGATAAACATGAAGTATCATAAAAGATATTTGAAATATGTTGTATTATTAAAAAATGTTTTCTGAAAGAACGATCTCGATAGAAATTTGTAAATTTATAGTTGTCTTATGCAAGAAAGCAATAATAATAATGATAAACATATAAATCTTTACTTAGAAATCAAATATTAGTTTAGTTTATTTGATATTTTTATCATAAAACTAATATAAAGAAGAAAAGAATGAATCGATGAGAAAGCCAGAAATGCAAAACTCGCTTTTTAGACACATACCAGATTGGTAACCAGGGTCCGAATCATTGCCAAGTCTGGTATAATAGGTAATTTGATACGTGATGCATGCGCAGCTTCAACATACAGAGCTGTATAATCATCAATTACAGATAATGCTATCAAATAATGAGCTACGAACTCAATAAAATATTAATCTCGATACATCTCTGATTTTTGTAGCGCACAAAACGTTAATTCCGTTAATTCAGCACGCGCTTTGCTTTATAATTATGTTTTTATTATTGTCTTTCGCTAAAGAATAAAACTACGATACATATAACAATATAATAACAATATAATAACAATAATAATAAAATAATAATAAATTATAATAAACGCTTATGAAGATATATTTTTAATTAAAGTTTTATTCTCTTAATATTATATGATAATCATAAATGTTCATACTTGTCCCTCTATTATTACAGGTGTTGGGCACAACATCGAATCAGGGAAGGATTTCACGGTAGACGGACTTTCAGGTTTCAGTAAGAAAAAGAAGAAAAAACGTCGTCATAGGTGAGCCTCTGACAGAAACTGTACCTTTTATCATTCCGTTTTAGACCGCAGTATTTTTTACAAGTAAAAGATTATTCAATATTTTAATTATAAAAATGCCTGTGCTTAACTTTGTGTCGAAAAACAGCACATATTTTCCTAAATATTTAAAAGTTTCATTGTTTTATATGATTAATAGTTTTTGATTATTTTTTTATTTAAAAATATTACAGAATATCTGACATTTGTAAAAAATAATTTCAGTATTCAAATAAAATTTAAAATATACGATACAATATTACACAAATGTTTCTCGATTATTACATTGTTTGATGAATACTATTTAAATTAATAACCCCTCCAATATCGAAATGGAATTTTACAAAAAGAATGATATTAACTCTTAGAGTTGGAGAGCTCTTATTTGATATTTTTAATTATACAAAAATTTTACCACATTGTTATATATTTTAATAACATATTTGAAAGACAATAAAGCTTTCTACATTAAATTGAAACAAAGGTAGACTAATTATATTAACAATTACAAAATTACATTATAAAAATTTATACATGTTCAATTACATTTACATCATACTATATATATATATATATATATATTATACGTTTCCATCATCTTACGGATAGTTTTTATTTAATAATAAAAAATTATCTGTAATCTTGTCTGTTGTGAAAATTATCTTATAAAAATATTACAAACAAAACGTTGTATATTATTTTATGTTTAAAAAATGATATTATTTTAACATAAAAAACAAATTCAGATTTAAAGTCCAATTAAATTTCGCATAATTACATTTATAAAAAGGAAATAATGTCTTATCGTATAAAAGCATTTTTAGACACCAAAGTCAAATCGCAATAGAGAAAGTTATTTAGGAAAGTATATTCTAATGTATATTGCAACTTTAAACAAGTGCATTTATTTCAACGCATTTGATAGTTTGACGTGATCACCGTTCGAAGATTCGAAATCAATCCAATAGAATTCGAAAGGATTACACGGCAGTCTTTAAAAGAGCGCACAAAACTGAAGCAAAATTGTCGACGATTTTCGCGTGTCCGCTTAACGAGCGGATGATCGTCCGGGAAATGACTTTCAATTTCGAAGCTTTCGTTCGGCCCACAAAGGCAGATGCCAGCTTGTTCTCCGCGTAACCTACAATTTGTCGAATCGCAAGACTAATTGGATATCTTGCCGTCAAATTCGCTTCTCCGATTTCTGTCATATCACGCACATATGCGCCTTCTGACTGGACACTCGTCTACCCATCGACTGTCCATCGTACGTTATAGAGTTATATATCTTGCTTATGAAAAAGGAAAAGCAACAAAGTAATCATTGGTTACTGATGCAGTATGCCTCGTCTTTCGTTTTTGCATTGTATCTATGTCGGCAAAATGTGTGTCCGTTTGCAACTAATTGTAAGCCAATGACGGCATATACTTGGGGACATTTAGAAAAATAGACTTGGCGACTGCTGATGTAAAATTATATCAAAAAGAAAATAGTTGAATGAAAATAGTTTTCAGAGTACTATCGAAAGAATTAAATCAAAATTTTAATCATTCGTCGATGTAACATTGCGCGTGTGTATTGTATCCTATCATCTTTATATAAACATTAATATTATAAAAATTTTTATATAAATATTACATTATAAATATTAAATATTATTATTATTACATTTAGATAATATAACAATGACGATTTAAATAATAAGAATAAAATATTCTTTTTCCTCCGCGTACGAATTTTCTTCTCAAAAATATTATTGTTTTAAATATAATTGTTCTTGTAATTCTCTCTATGTCTTACTAAATATATGTGTTAATTTATTAATTTTTGATACATGATTCTAATTTAAAAATCATATTAATCACGCAATAACAATACTTTTTGAATTAGTTTGATTCAAATTTAAATAATGTGTTTTTATAATATGTATTTTAAGCTAATATAGAGCCATTAATTGCAGAAAATACTTACTATACTTACTATAAATCATTATTTTCCTCGTCACAAGTAATTAACAAAAATTTTGAACTTTGGATGATTTTTATATAGACGCAAAACATATATTACTTGAATTTTCTTTCGATCTTTTGCGAGAGAATAGGATAGATTTAAGGTAGAAACTCTGTAATGGCATATAACTAGGTTCATGTGGTTGTTGCTCCAGGACGATCTTCACGTCACAGCAGCTGGAGGCGCTGGAGGCAGCCTTCAAGGAAGCCCACTATCCTGATGTCTATGCTCGTGAGATGTTAAGCTTGAGAACTGATCTACCCGAAGACAGGATACAGGTAAGCGAAAATTAGAACATCTATTTTTGCGTATAAATTGTGATAATCACTACACACATAGAAATAAAATTGAACAAGCGAGAACATTTCAAATGATTTCTCGTTGGCAAGTTAAATCAATATTAGAATGCTATTGTTAGAGCTTAATAGTAATTGTTGGAATCTCCATTTATATTTGTATTTATATATGCATATGGTTAACTTTTTAAAAATTTAAATTGTTAAATTAAAATAAAAAAATTAAATAAAACTTCCAGATAATCTTTTTCTATGTAATTGATCGTCGTAAATCATGTACAACATGAAGATGATCGAATAAATTACTATACTAACTGTCTATTCAAAGGTATAAGGCTGCATAATAACAACAAAAAGTTATCGAAATTAAAAAAAATATATTTCTTGTTTTGAACATTAAATAAATAGATTTGAATTAAAGAATTAAAAAGATAGAAAGGAATTAAAATCTAAACAAAATAATATGGTTTTTACGAAAGAAAATATTTATAATTAACATCATAACGGACAACAAAAATTTGTGGTTGTATAATTTTCGAACCATTCAGAGAATCAGTTTTTATGTCTAAGATATTCAAAAAAATTATTGGAAAAATCTATGAAATTATTATGCTCTTGTCAACGTTTTAATATCTGACACATATGACCTTAAAACGATTACTTCTTAACTCATAATTTACATTTTATGCTTACTTCTTAAAACTATAACTATATAATTTATTATCAAAATACAATTACATTAAATAATCATTTTTATAAATAATTAATTGTATTTTTTAAATATTATTATTTTTCCTTTAATTTTAACTTATAAATTAATCTTTAATATTTTACAAGTTCCATTAAAAATATTATCGTATGTATCTGTAATTAAAGAGAGATTGTGTTTTAGTCATGTTTCATATAAATGAAACCGAAAATCTAAAAAGCTTTTTTAGCTTTTTGCTCTTAAGATTATCGACATAATGCTTACAAGCGTAATGGTGATTGCAATAGTCAATGGTTTATCGTCAAGAGTGGAGTATGGCAGTACCAAAAGCTGCGACCATAAAAGAGAGAATTTTCCAGAGCTGATGGTTAGTTACCGTGCGGACCAATGGAGTAGTAGGCTGATATCGGTTTCCGCATGGCGAACTCGGCACAAGGTTTTCTTTCTCTCTTTCTGTCTCTGTCTCGCTCTTTTCTGGTATTTCCCCTTTATGTTCCCTTTTTTTCTCGTTACGCCTCTCGTTCTTTATCTTTTTTCTAGTTGTTTCTTTTTTTTTACATCAATATTGTCCTCTCATTCATCATTTTCTTCATACGTTACGAAACACTATCCGTGTCTAATGCAAATGTATGAAAGATGACACGTTGTATATTTTTCATCTAACTTGTGCGAGGTTTTAAAACAATTTTGACAAATAAATGATATAAAGTAAGTGGTGTCATTGCAAGTAATTACAACGATACTTATGTTGTACCGTGGCAAGATAATAAATATGAATATAAATACGAAGATACTGATTTTTTCAGAATGCTGTCAATATGTTGTATGTAATTGCGGTAATATATTATTAAATTTACATACAATTAAAATTCAAGAAAGCCTTTAGAAAGCCAATATCTGCTTTTACTTAAAGATATAATGTGAGAAGCCAAATGCATTATATTATATTTGTTATAGATGATTTCGTGATTTTATAGATAATTACGTGATAATTGTTCGATTATTATAAATAATTGTAAATTTATAGAAAAAATTATTAAACATTTTGTATGTGTATTGTGTGAAAACATTACATAAAAAGGTATTTAATACAATAATACATGAATGTATATATTATATTTCAAGAGTACTTTCAGAAGAATTCTCTTTTTAATTGAGCTGAACGTATATCATTTTAAAATATGACTTGTTAAATATATACTTGAAAATATAATAGTGTGCAGTCATTCCATATTATGGTTTTATAATAATTTCAGATAGATTGATTTTTATGCATGATTACAATTAAGCCATTCGTAATATAACCGAGTGGAGTCTAAAAAACTCTGATATGATTTGCATAACAGTCAATCAGCTACTCAGATGATTTTGTGAATCAATTAACAATCGACAAGTACATAATTGAGCAAAACTTTGATGAAAAACATAGTCGTAGTATTTTTTGACAAATGGTTCCGAAAAGTGATGAAAGTATTCTATGAATTACGATATTGATAATTCTAACGAAGCTTTGTACATGAAATATATTGCAAAAAATATCTTAATAACACATACATAGCGTAACAATACTATTATCACAATATACACAAAGTTATCAGTTTCGGAATTTTTTTATATCATGATCAATTTTTTTATATAATTGATCGATCGGTTGCGACCACTCAAATATTCTGTTATCTTTTTTTATTCTATTTTCTTTATTATTTTAATAAAAAAGTGAAAGAAAGAAAGAAAGAAAGACAGCAGGAGAAAGAGTCTTTAAATACCATGAAATACAATTTTCATCTATGACATCCCGATTGCGTACGTATGTGCACGTATATCAGTGCGATTTGCGTATATCGTACATCAGAGGTGCCCAAGTGGATTCGACTAACAACTAAGAGAGACTCCTCATCCTGCTTGTACACCCCCACTACCCCCACTAACTTATCACGCCTGTCGATTCGCATCGTGGACTAGGGGAAACAGGGAGAGCGCGAGAACATGGCCTGTGGGCCATGGACTCGGACACCTCTGTATATATGTGAATGAACGTTTCTGGCATACAGACATATACATATGCATGCAACCTGTACGCGGCAGCCGGTGATTATATTTTGATATAATTCGAAGTATGAGAGCAGCCGCCGCGAGCGGCGGGGGTGGTTGGGTGAGCCAAGTAGGAGGGAGGAAAAACTGGAGGGAGGGTTGGGAATCGTGACGGCATGGGGTTGTCGAGGCTGCCTGAAGCGTGCAGGCGCGTACACACAGAGTGCCGTAGAACGACAAAGCGGCCATTACAGGATGGGTGCGGTCCCGCGGGCCAATCAGAGAGAGGAGCCAGGGACCGGACGGCCAATCAGGACGCGCCTTCCACCCGTCTTTTGTTTCTAAATTTGCGCGCGCGACGGGGACACAATATAACGAGGCGCGAGACGGAAAGAGGAGCTGATAATCGTTAACGGGGATATTTTTGCGCGGGGAGTGGTGTTTTTCTTCCTCTGTTGCTCACCTTCTCTCGTCCCTTCTCTCTCACGTATTTAGCTCTTTATTTCCGAATCTGTCTTTATCTCTCTTTACGTGAATTTGCGAATTATGTTGCAGTATTTTTGTAAATTATATGAATCTTAGAATTTTTTAATTTCATGCGATTGCCAACCTTGTTAATTAACTGAAATTGTAAATTATGTTTATATATTTATTTATTGTTTATATAATTATTACCTCAAAAGACATACATTGTATTTTATATTTTATTTTTTAATTCTTTTACTTTTATTATTCACGTGTTTTGTGATATTCTAATCACATATCTTGATATTTTTATTATTCTATCAAACATAATTTTTCAATTATATTAAAAAAATTTTTTAATTGTAAAACATTACGAAACATAGCTATGTATTAATGTTTCTACGCATCAATTTTTACATGTTTATAGATTTCTAAAAAATATTTGATTAAATAATTAAATTAGCTATATTATATACAAAAGAAGTATATATTGTTAATAAAATCAGATAGTTAATAAATACAGCATTAAATTTTTTAATTAATTTTTTAATTATGAAGTATTACACATTTCTTCTTTCTTGTAGAACAATCAAAATGGTTGATCAATTTTTTAACGTACAGTAAGAAAAAATTGAATAGTATTAATTATGATAAAATAATATTCATTATTTCTAAATCCATTATTTCTAAAATTATTAAAGAGTTAAATGTCACGACCGTAAGAATTAACTATGACAAAAGATTTCCACGCTAAAATTACTCAGTGTTTAGTAATTTGTCAGGTCTCTAAATGTAGCAAACTATTATTATTTGATGAAATTCTGGATACATTTACTTGATATAGTCCGAACAGATTAATTTGTTATATTTATCGAATTTTATACAATTTGTTAGTCTTTATTCTAAATACGAAAAATATAATCGTATAAAAATTGATTTAATGAATATTTGTACTCATAAATTTCTTTTTGTATAAAGTAAAAAAATACAGTAATTTTAATGGATATATTAAAAATAAAAATATAATTTATGTATTATAAAATAACAAGAATAAAATAAACGGATACAAGAATACAAGAATAAAATAAATATTTATATATGTTTGTATTGTAATTTTGAACAACGTATCTGCTAATAAAATGTGTACATTATTAAAATCCGGATTTATATAATAAACTCATCTATCAACGAATTATCGAAGTAAATAATGTAAACAAATGTCATTGCTTAATTAATCAGATATAACAAATTTTTAAAGTCATTTGATATAATTGCAGCGGAAAGTAATTTTGTTGATAAATTCTGTAAAGTTTGTTTTATGCATCATTTGAATTACTAAATGTTTTTATCACTATAAAATTATCATTATAAAATTAATAATTTTGCTTCTTTTTTTCTCAGTATGTTATTTTTATATAAAAAATTACAATGCTGAAGAAAAAGTAGTGAAAATCTTCTACAGCAAAATTAATCGAATTATGTCTTCAAAGAATAGTGACTCTTTATTGTTTATCTGTTTATTTGTATATTGATTCTTTATATTTGAACTTAATGCAATAATTATACTAAGCTACAAAAAATATCTTTTTTAATTATATTGAATCAAACAAAGTGTTTTTTATAGATTTCGCGATGCTGAAAACGATGCCGTAAGTAATTTTTGCCAGCATGTCAGGTTTTCCAAAATAATTGAGGTAATAATATGCAAAAAATGGCTTTTTTGCAACTTTTGAAGATTTTTTTATAAATAAGATTATAACAACAATATTTTGAAATT